CGCACCATTACGAGCGCCTGAAAGTGGCAGTCAGAGCAGCCGTGCGCATCGAGCAAGCTCATGTCGCGGGTGGAGACACCTGCAGCAGAGCTCAATAGCACTTACAGGCGTTTTTCGTGTACTGTGTCTGTGGTGATGAGCTTTGAAACAAGCCTTTCAGTTGTTAGACGTAGAAGCATGAAAAACATGCCCACTGCTGCTGGGCAAGGCCTGGCCCCCCTTCCTCAACCACCACTTTCTCACTCCCACTCTACTCCCCGCTCCCCGTTCCTCTGCTTGCTACACACAACACAGGCCATGCCCGAGGCGGAAACGGCCTTCTGGGCGGCGTCGGTGCTTCTCCCAAGGCATGGCCGCTCTTCCTCAACGCCTCTCACACCCCCCACTCCTCCCTTCCCCCCTTCCTTGTTACATTGCAGGCCATGCCCGAGGCAGAGACAGCCTTCTGGGCGTCGGTACTGCTGTCCAAGGCGTGGCCTCTCTTCCTCAACGACCTCGTCTCACCAAGCTCATGCCCAAAGTCGCTCCCTGGTTCCTCTCCCGATACAAGCCTCCCATGCTCGTACGTCCATCCGCCTCTACCTTCCCACCCGATGCCGGATGCTCTCCCATGCTGCTCCATCCCTCCATGTCGGTCTGTTACTGTCGGACGTACAGCAACTGTCAGTGCCTGTCAGTGACTCACTGTCTGTCCTTCCCGTCCGAATTCCTTAGGCATACGGGATGGAAATGCCTGTGCCTGCCACATGCCACTTGTGTGCCTGATGCGTGCATGCGTCACCCCCGCCCATGACAGGCGAAGGTGGAGGTGGTGAAGGCCAACTTCGGTGACACAGCGCCCGTCATCACATCCATCAAAGCGTTCCGGGAGGAGGAGGCGGGCGCAACCATGTGGTGCGTGAGTGAGGGAGAGAGAGTGGGTGAGTGAGTGGGTGGGTGAGTGCTGGTGGCAGCATGTGCTGAGTATGTGCTTCCTACCTCCTGCTTTCTCTCTCCCTCCTTGCCCATCCCTGCCCATCACCCTCTTCTCTAGGAGCAGGCGACACCATGTCATGCCACACTACTTGCCCTTTACCCCCCTCTCTATCGCCGCACGTCTTCCTTTCATCACACCCGGTTGCCTCATCTCCCTTGCCGGGAGCTGCAGTGTGCAGTGCTGCATGCATGCACCACCATTCCACACTCTCCTCGCCTCGCCCCTTCCCCTTCATCTCTCCGCACCTCACCCCTGCCCCTCACCAGAAGCTGGAGGCGAGTGTGGAGGAGGCGGCGGCGTGTGCCAACAACAAAACTGTGCTGCCAGCACCGACCCCCTCGTTGCCTCGCCCCTTCAATCTCACCTCACCCTCTCCATGACCAGGAGCTGGAGGCGAGTGTTGAGACAACATGAGTGTGCGAGCAGCCGCGTATGTGGCGGGCATGACAAGCATCCCGCTCCTGTTGACCGCATTCCAATCTCCCCTTGCCACCCCCCCCTGCCCCTTATCCATCTCACCAGGAGCTGGAGGCGAGTGTGGAATTGGTGGGGGCGGACAACTTGAGCGTGCAGGCGACTGCTTATGTGGCGGGCATGGGCAGCATCCCCTGGACCGCCTACATCACCGGCTGCAGCTCACCGGCACGGTGCGAGAGCGGCTAGGCATGGCATTGTGGGAATAGACATATTATAGTTGAGGGGTGAAAGCACGGCTACCATTTCATGGACTGCCTGCATCACATCACAGAGCCGCACTTCACTGGCACAGTTGCGCAGTATGAAAAGGAAGGAGGGTTAGGTGACGATGTGCTGTGCTGAATACGAGTCCTGGACACGCATCTCCTCTCTCAACCCCGCTCCTTTCCACGCCTCTCCCTGCAGATGCGTGTGGGCTGCGCTTCCGCTGCTCGCTCGCCTTTGTGGATGTGGTGACGGATGCTGTAGAAGCGTCGTGAACGCCCTCTCTCTGCCTGCCTTCTGCGCCCTCCCCATCCCCATCCCCATCCCTGCAGATGCGAGTGGGACTGCGCCTCCGCTACTCGCTGCCTTTTGTGGACCGGTTCATGCTAAGCTTCATGAGACTCTGGGAATGCTGTAGAGGCGTTGTAAATGCCCCTTTCCCTCCCCATCCCCACTCCTCCCCCTCCCGCCCTCCCCATCGCCCGCCCTGCAGATGCGGGTGGGGCTGCGGTTCCGGCGCTCGCTGCCCTTTGTGGACCGCGTGACGCTGAGCTTCGTGCGCCCCCCCCAGGTGTCGTGCGCCATCAAGGTCATGGGCGCCCTCGACGCCGCCAGCATTCCGCTTGTGGCCTCCTATGTGGTGCGTGCATGCCATGGGGTGGGGTGGGGTGGGATGGGTTGGGATGGCATGGGATGGCATGGCATGGGATGGGATGGGATGGGATGGGATGGGATGGGATGCACTGCAAGGGGATGGACATGCCCCTTGCTCTTGGGTTACTCTCATGCTTCATGCTTATGCCCCATGCCCCCATGCCCCCATGCTCAGGAGTCTTGCTTTGCCTATGTGTGCTATTCCTGTTGCCCTTCCCATCCCATGGCCTTTCCCATCCCCCTGGCAACGAGCAGGAGTACACTCTCCAAAACGCCCTCAAGACGTCCCTCTGCTGGGTACGTGCCCGTTGTCCCCCTACTCCTCACGCCCATGACTGTTTCTTCAGACCAAACCGTGCCATACCATGTCACATACCCCCATGCACCAGTAGTACCGTCATGTTATACCATACGTTTGCTAGCCAGTCCATGCCCTGCCATAGCGTAACGTGCATGCATGCCACATCCCCTTGTGATGTCTTATGCCACGCCATGCCATGCCACGTCATACCTCCCGTTCACACCCCAACCGCCTGGTGGTGGTGGATGCGGTGCAGGCAGCTGCCTTGGTGCTCAACATGGCTCAGTGTGTCATGCCTCACATGGCTCAGTGTGTCATGCCTCACATGGCTCAGTGTGTCATGCCTCACATGGCTCAGTGTGTCATGCCTCACATGGCTCAGTGTGTCATGCCTCACATGGCTCAGTGTGTCATGCCTCACATGGCTCAGTGTGTCATGCCTCACATGGCTCAGTGTGTCATGCCTCACATGGCTCAGTGTGTCATGCCTCACATGGCTCAGTGTGTCATGCCTCACATGGCTCAGTGTGTCATGCCTCACATGGCTCAGTGTGTCATGCCTCACATGGCTCAGTGTGTCATGCCTCACATGGCTCAGTGTGTCATGCCTCACATGGCTCAGTGTGTCATGCCTCACATGGCTCAGTGTGTCATGCCTCACATGGCTCAGTGTGTCATGCCTCACATGGCTCAGTGTGTCATGCCTCACATGGCTCAGTGTGTCATGCCTCACATGGCTCAGTGTGTCATGCCTCACATGGCTCAGTGTGTCATGCCTCACATGGCTCAGTGTGTCATGCCTCACATGGCTCAGTGTGTCATGCCTCACATGGCTCAGTGTGTCATGCCTCACATGGCTCAGTGTGTCATGCCTCACATGGCTCAGTGTGTCATGCCTCACATGGCTCAGTGTGTCATGCCTCACATGGCTCAGTGTGTCATGCCTCACATGGCTCAGTGTGTCATGCCTCACATGGCTCAGTGTGTCATGCCTCACATGGCTCAGTGTGTCATGCCTCACATGGCTCAGTGTGTCATGCCTCACATGGCTCAGTGTGTCATGCCTCACATGGCTCAGTGTGTCATGCCTCACATGGCTCAGTGTGTCATGCCTCACATGGCTCAGTGTGTCATGCCTCACATGGCTCAGTGTGTCATGCCTCACATGGCTCAGTGTGTCATGCCTCACATGGCTCAGTGTGTCATGCCTCACATGGCTCAGTGTGTCATGCCTCACATGGCTCAGTGTGTCATGCCTCACATGGCTCAGTGTGTCATGCCTCACATGGCTCAGTGTGTCATGCCTCACATGGCTCAGTGTGTCATGCCTCACATGGCTCAGTGTGTCATGCCTCACATGGCTCAGTGTGTCATGCCTCACATGGCTCAGTGTGTCATGCCTCACATGGCTCAGTGTGTCATGCCTCACATGGCTCAGTGTGTCATGCCTCACATGGCTCAGTGTGTCATGCCTCACATGGCTCAGTGTGTCATGCCTCACATGGCTCAGTGTGTCATGCCTCACATGGCTCAGTGTGTCATGCCTCACATGGCTCAGTGTGTCATGCCTCACATGGCTCAGTGTGTCATGCCTCACATGGCTCAGTGTGTCATGCCTCACATGGCTCAGTGTGTCATGCCTCACATGGCTCAGTGTGTCATGCCTCACATGGCTCAGTGTGTCATGCCTCACATGGCTCAGTGTGTCATGCCTCACATGGCTCAGTGTGTCATGCCTCACATGGCTCAGTGTGTCATGCCTCACATGGCTCAGTGTGTCATGCCTCACATGGCTCAGTGTGTCATGCCTCACATGGCTCAGTGTGTCATGCCTCACATGGCTCAGTGTGTCATGCCTCACATGGCTCAGTGTGTCATGCCTCACATGGCTCAGTGTGTCATGCCTCACATGGCTCAGTGTGTCATGCCTCACATGGCTCAGTGTGTCATGCCTCACCATGGTCAGCTGTGTCATGCCCTCACATGGCTCAGTGTGTCATGCCTCACATGGCTCAGTGTGTCATGCCTCACATGGCTCAGTGTGTCATGCCTCACATGGCTCAGTGTGTAATGCTCACATGCTCAGTGTGTCCTGACCTCACATGGCTCAGTGTGTCATGCCCTCACATGGCTCAGTGTGTCATGCCTCACATGGCTCAAGTGTGTCATGCCTCACATGGCTCAGTGTGTATGCCCTCACATGCTCAGTGTGTCATGCCTCACATGGCTCAGTGTGTCATGCCTCACATGGCTCAGTGTGTCATGCCTCACATGGCTCAGTGTGTCATGCCTCACATGGCTCAGTGTGGTCATGCCTCACATGGCTCAGTGTGTCATGCCTCACATGGCTCAGTGTGTCATGCCCTCACATGGCTCATGATGTGTACATGCCTCTCACATGGCTCAGTGTGTCATGCTCACATGGCTCAGTGTGTCATGCCTCACATGGCTCAGTGTGTCATGCCTCACATGGCTCAGTGTGTCATGCCTCACATGGCTCAGTGTGTCATGCCTCACATGGCTCAGTGGTCATTGCCCTCCATGTCAGTGCTCACATGGCTCAGTGTGTCATGCCTCACATGGCTCAGTGTGTCATGCCTCACATGGCTCAGTGTGTCATGCCTCACATGGCTCAGTGTGTCATGCCTCACATGGCTCAGTGTGTCATGCCTCACATGGCTCAGTGTGTCATGCCTCACATGGCTCAGTGTGTCATGCCTCACATGGCTCAGTGTGTCATGCCTCACATGGCTCAGTGTGTCATGCCTCACATGGCTCAGTGTGTCATGCCTCACATGGCTCAGTGTGTCATGCCTCACATGGCTCAGTGTGTCATGCCTCACATGGCTCAGTGTGTCATGCCTCACATGGCTCAGTGTGTCATGCCTCACATGGCTCAGTGTGTCATGCCTCACATGGCTCAGTGTGTCATGCCTCACATGGCTCAGTGTGTCATGCCTCACATGGCTCAGTGTGTCATGCCTCACATGGCTCAGTGTGTCATGCCTCACATGGCTCAGTGTGTCATGCCTCACATGGCTCAGTGTGTCATGCCTCACATGGCTCAGTGTGTCATGCCTCACATGGCTCAGTGTGTCATGCCTCACATGGCTCAGTGTGTCATGCCTCACATGGCTCAGTGTGTCATGCCTCACATGGCTCAGTGTGTCATGCCTCACATGGCTCAGTGTGTCATGCCTCAGTGTGTCATGCCTCACATGGCTCAGTGTGTCATGCCTCACATGGCTCAGTGTGTCATGCCTCACATGGCTCAGTGTGTCATGCCTCACATGGCTCAGTGTGTCATGCCTCACATGGCTCAGTGTGTCATGCCTCACATGGCTCAGTGTGTCATGCCTCACATGGCTCAGTGTGTCATGCCTTCACATATGTTGCTCTCCCTCTCCTAACCCACGCCACCCCCCCCACCCCCCTTTCACAGCCCAACCGACTGGTGGTGGTGGACGCGGTGAGGGCAGCTGCCTTGGTGCTGGACCTCTTTACGTGTGTCATCCCCTCAACCCCGTTCCCCCTCCACCCCACCCCATCCATCTGCAGCCCACCGGCTGGTGGTGGTGGACGCGGTGAGGGCAGCGGCCTTTGTGCTGGACCTGCCAGTGCCGCCCCCCCACACCCGAGGAGATCAGCATTGTCACTCCCCGGCCCATCACCAAGGCCAAGAGTGAGTGGCGTGGAACAAGAGGTAGTGGGGTGCGCGTGCATGGCGGAGTGAGTGGGGGGTGTGCGCGCTCAAGGTTTAACTACCAGTGCCGCCCTTCACACCGAGGAGATCAGCATCGTCGCTCCCCGGCCCATCACCAAGGGGAAGAGTGTGCGGCGTGGTGCTAAGGGGACAGGTGAATAGTGTGGTTACAAAGAGAGAGACGGAAGGGGTGGGTGGTGGCTGACGGAGAGCGTGGAGCTGCATGCTTGGGGTCGGGGGCAAGAGAGCGGGAGGTGCGTGTAACTAAGGAGCAGGCATGGGGGGCTTGACGTGCCTGTCACTGCTCGCTTCCACACCTGAGGGAATTGGCATTGTCACTCCACGGCTGTTTGTCAAGAAAGGACGAAGTAATGTGCTGTCATTGGTGGGAGTGAGAGGTGTGCTCTCTAGGCAAAGGGTGAGTACTGTGCTCCCTCCCGCCTCCCCCTCTCCCCCACTCTCCCACTTCCCCACTCTCAACACCCTCCGGATCACAGCTGCCTCCTCTGCTCTTCCCAACCCTTTTCTTCTCTCCGCACCTAACCTCCCTCCCACTCTCGCTCCTGTCCTCCCCTCTCTCCCCACCCCCTTTGTACGTGCCCCCAGGTACCCTCTCTGCTATCTCCAAGAAATTTCTTTCCAAGAAAGGCAAGGACGGTGCTGCCGCCTTGCCAGCTGTCGCCACGCTATTGGTCGAAGTCATGGAGGCAAAGGATCTCCTGGCGGCAGATTCGGGCGGCACATCTGACCCCTACGTGAAAGGGCTCGATCGGCGCCGCCCGCTTCCAAACCGCGGTCATCTCGAAAACCTTAACCCGCAGTGGAACCAAAAGTTTGACGTGCCCGTGGCGGACTGGTCGCTGCCCGAAAGCTACACTCTGGTACTGCGCGTGAAAGACTACGATATGTTCTCAGCCAATGATGCGATCGGGCGGGCTCAGATGGACATTAGTGCGGTTTAGGGGGGCAGGGAGGAAGGAAGAGTGGTTGCCACTGGTGGACGGCGGAAATGGAAAGATCAGAGTGGCTGTAGAGGTGAAGGAGGACGGGGGCATTGGTCCCAGCGGCAGTGACTCCGATCCTGCTGGCCCTTCCGCTGTCGCTGCTGGTGGTAGTGCTGGTGGTGAGAGTGGTGGTGCAGCTGTGGGTGGAAGGGGAGTGGAGAGAGCAGCGTCAGACGCATCAACATGCACATTAGAGTCGTACACTCACGACTCGCAATCCGTGTCTGCTGCCTGCTCAGAGGATGCTGCTCGAGTTGCTGCGCCCCACCACAGCCACAGGTCCGCAACTTCCTTGGAGCTCTTCCCTTTACCATCCTCTTGCTGTAAAACAGCAAAACCTCCTCTCTTATCTTTTTTTCCTGCATCTCTACCTTTGCTTCTTTGCCCTCTAGCGCGCCTGCCAAGCTGGCACCTGCCAACACAGCATGCACGCCTCAAGGGGTTTAATGTGCGTCAAAACACGTCCCACGAGCCACAGCCTCATTTCTCTTCTTCCCTCTTCCCCCATCCACCTACGCCCTCCCGCCCTACCCTCTCCCACAGTCGTTCCGCATTCATCTACCTCCGAGGTCCCCCCCTCACCGTCTCTCACGCCCTCCTCCTCCTCATCCGCCAAGAGCAGCAGCAGTTGGTTCCGAGGCCTGTCCAGCACGGCCGTGGCAGCCGCAACAGCCGCTCAGGCAGCACCACCACCTCATCCCAGCCTACCTCCCTTGACGAACCACCCCTGGGACACAACTCCCAAGGAAATCACTCCTGCACCAAAAACGCCCAAGGAGGGCACACCACGGTCAGGCAGCCGAAGCTGGTCATTCAAGTCGGGGTCGCTGAGGCGCCTGGGGTCAGGGTCTGGTGCCCGCTTGGGTATTGCCGTGGCCACTGTCCACGTGGAGGTGATCGAGGCTGATTCCCTCGTTGGTGCCGATAAGATTGGTGAGTGTGTGGGCTGTTGTAGCGGGGACGATTGGGGTTGTGGTGAGGGCTTGAGGGCAGTGCAGTGGCGGCTGTTCACGTGGAGGTGAACGATGCCGATGAGGCTGACTCCCTCATTCCCGCCAATCAAATGGTTACGTTGTTGTGCCTTCTGGGTTGTAATTGTAAGCTCGTACGTGTGGTGCGGATCTTGGGTTGGATACGACTTTCGCAGTGGGGCAAGCATCACTGGGTTCCATCAGGTCTCGAGTTTAGGTGTTACACTTACTGTATGCTCTCGCTTACAGTTCACTCCTCAGGTTCTCATTAAGAGTTTTTATTAAGCGCCCTGTTCTGATATTCGTTTCCTTCACTTTATAAGTCCTTCCTCATCTTAGCCTCATTCTTGCTCTTTGTCGGTGCTGCGGTTGGCTCATACCAAGCAGGCACATCCAATCCAACCCCATCTGAAAGGCTTCGTAAGTCCTCCGAATATTCCATGTCCACCTCCCGCGACTTCCTGCCTCTTTTTTCCTCCTCCTGCCCCTCCTCTTCCCCTGTCCCTTTTTCCTCTTCCCTGCCCCTTTTTCCTCTTCCCTGCCCCTTTTTCCTCTTCCCTGCCCCTTTTTCCTCTTCCCTGCCCCTTTTTTCCTCTTCCCTGCCCCTTTTTCCTCTTTCCCTGCCCCTTTTCCCTCTTCCCTGCCCCTCCTCTTCCCTGTCCCTTTTTCCTCTTCCCTGCCCCTTTTTCCCTCTTCCCTGCCCCTTTTCCTCTTCCCTGCCCCTTTTTCCTCTTCCCTGCCCCTTTTTCCTTCTTCCCTACCCCTTTTTCCTCTTTCCCTGCCCCTTTTTCCTCTTCCCTGCCCCTTTTTCCTCTTCCCTGCCCCTTTTCCTCTTCCCTGCCCCTTTTTCCTCTTCCCTGCCCCTTTTTTCTCTTCCCTTCCCCATTCCCCCTTCTCTCTGGCCCCCACACGTGTGCCGTGCAGGCACATCTGATCCCTACCTGAAAGGCTCCCTGGGCTCTTCCAAATTCTCCACCAAAATCATTTTCAAGACGCTCTGCCCGCGATGGAACGAAAAGTTTTCGCTGCCGTGAAGGAATGGCCGCCTGCGGGCAGCCCGTTCCTCTTGAAGCTGAACATTTTCGACCGTGATATGCTGACTCAGCACGACCCGCTAGGGAACGCTGCCCTCGATATAATGTCGTTGAGGGATGGTGCGAGGCACGCCCTGTGGGTGAAGCTGGAGAACGTGGCTACAGGGAGGGTGCATGTGGCTGTGACTGTAGAGGATCACCTTGGGCCGGCAGAGACTGATGATGAAGAGAATGAGTCAGTGGAAGGAGGTGAGGAGGGTGGAGATGGGAAAGCGGGGGTTAACTCTGCCCCCACCAGTGCCGGCAGTTAACACCTGCACCAGAATCACATTCCCGGGTGTCGTCACGGTCGTCCAAGAAGCCAGCAGGCAAAGCACCTGCGCTCCAGCATTCCTTCGGGGCAGGAGCTCTCAGCCATGGCTGACGCTCCTGCTGCCTCTTCCTCTTCCTATGGGCCTTCCAGTCCCCCGGCTGCCAGCGACTCCCCTGTGGCAGGAAAGGGGGGAATGGGAGAGGCTGGGGAGGCAGGGGGGGGACAGAAGGAGGCTGGGAGTCTGATGCGCAGGGGCTGCAGGGAGTGGAGAAGGAGGTGCCGCAGGTGTGGGTGGCTCATGTGGAGATTATTGAAGCGACGGATCTGGTCGTTGCTGACATGACAGGTGAGAGATCGGCTAGAGCTTGTGCTCGTGCTTGTGCCTGCCATTCTGCTTCTCCGTTTTCTGCTTTTATTTTTTCTTCTTCTTCTTCTTCTACTTCTTCTTCTACTTCTTCTTCTACTTCTTCTTCTACTTCTTCTTCTACTTCTTCTTCTACTTCTTCTTCTACTTCTTCTTCTACTTCTTCTTCTACTTCTTCTTCTACTTCTTCTTCTACTTCTTCTTCTACTTCTTCTTCTACTTCTTCTTCTACTTCTTCTTCTACTTCTTCTTCTACTTCTTCTTCTACTTCTTCTTCTACTTCTTCTTCTACTTCTTCTTCTACTTCTTCTTCTACTTCTTCTTCTACTTCTTCTTCTACTTCTTCTTCTACTTCTTCTTCTACTTCTTCTTCTACTTCTTCTTCTACTTCTTCTTCTACTTCTTCTTCTACTTCTTCTTCTACTTCTTCTTCTACTTCTTCTTCTACTTCTTCTTCTACTTCTTCTTCTACTTCTTCTTCTACTTCTTCTTCTACTTCTTCTTCTACTTCTTCTTCTACTTCTTCTTCTACTTCTTCTTCTACTTCTTCTTCTACTTCTTCTTCTACTTCTTCTTCTACTTCTTCTTCTACTTCTTCTTCTACTTCTTCTTCTACTTCTTCTTCTACTTCTTCTTCTACTTCTACTTCTACTTCTACTTCTACTTCTACTTCTACTTCTACTTCTACTTCTACTTCTACTTCTACTTCTACTTCTACTTCTACTTCTACTTCTACTTCTACTTCTACTTCTACTTCTACTTCTACTTCTACTTCTACTTCTACTTCTACTTCTACTTCTACTTCTACTTCTACTTCTACTTCTACTTCTACTTCTACTTCTACTTCTACTTCTACTTCTACTTCTACTTCTACTTCGACTTCTACTTCTACTTCTACTTCTACTTCTACTTCTACTTCTACTCTACTTCTACTTCTACTTCTACTTTCTACTTCTACTTCTACTTCTACTTCTACTTCTACTTCTACTTCTACTTCTACTTCTACCTTCTACTTCTACTATCTACTTCTACTTCTACTTCTACTTCTACTCTTCTACTTCTACTTCTACTTCTACTTCTACTTCTACGTTCTACTTCTACTTCTACTTCTACTCTACTTCTACTTCTACTTCTACTTCTACTTCTACTTCTAGCTTCTACTTCTACTTCTACTTCTACTTCTACTTCTACTTCTACTTTCTACTTCTACTCTCTACTTCTACTTCTATTCTACTTCTACTGCTGCTGCCGACATGGCTTGATGTGATTGTTTGGAGAGTATCGTGACAAACACGTCTTCCATGAATCGTTTTTTAACAGGTTATTCGGATCCGTACACAATCGGCAAGATCGGAGAAGCAACGTTTCAAACGAAGCATATCTCGCGAACGCTCAACCCTAAATGGTACGAGGAGTTAAGGTCTCCGTACCCGTATGGGACCCTGACGTCACGTACCTTCAACTCGTCGTGAAAGATCGAGACACCTTCTCTTCTGATGAATCTATAGGCAAGGCGAATGTCAACTTGAACGTGTTACGGGATGGACAGCGCCACACGCTGTGGTTACCGTTACAAGGAGTGAAGAGCGGCAAGGTGCATGTAGCGGTGACGTTGAAGGAGCAGAATGTGGAGTCTAATGTTGTGGTGCACGAGCTTATGCCTGGCTGTGTCATCGAGTGCTATGATGCAATCAAGCTGGTGCTCTAACATACTATTGTGAGTGCTTTAGCTACTTACTGTAGCTTGGGCTAGTGCAGGATTCCTAGAACGGAATGTGAGCAAGACTCTGTGCATAACACGAGTTGAGAGGATTGGCACTTCTAGTGCACTTCCTGGGTAAAGGACCCTGGACGTGTTCCACATGTGTCATAATATATAGCGTTTTGCAGAACGTGAGATTATCGTTAGTGTGAGTAAACGCAGTTAGGAAACGGCGTGAAGAGCACCTTGTTGAACTTCTGTCGTTCATCTTTTTCGTGCGTCGCTATGGTCAAATAGGTCGTTGCATGCCAGCGAGGCACCGCCAGCAAGTCAGCGAAAGGCAACCTTGCCTCGCTGGGCCATCGAGGCTCAACCACCACGTGGAGAGACTGGCAATGACAGCGAATCAAGCCCAACTTACGACTGGACTGGAATGCACCGCACTGAAATCTTCTGCGTCACCTGATATGCTGCACATTAACCAACTGCACCGTAGCTAAACGAACCAACACCAGAGTCGGGTATTCCACCCACTCCACAATGTGCAGCTGTGCTGACCCAAGGAGAGCTCCCCACCCCACCCCAACATGCGCTGGTCATTCAAATCCCCGTGCAATCTCTGTTGCTCTGAACATCAGTGATCATTTCCAATTCACTTAGCACTTACTGCTTTATCACTTTGCAGCACTTCAAATCAAACACCTCTTACTTTTACCGCTCGCATCGGAAAACCTATTTTCGCACCAGCGCCACCTAGCTGCAGCATTGCCCGACCACGACGATGGGTAACTCAACATGCGACGCGCAGCTTGATAAAAAGGCGCAAGCAACGGCGACTGCAATGTCCGAGGGAACCGCCAAGTCCGAACCCGCGCATCCGCCTCCGCCTGTCTCTCACCCCCCGGCTCCGCCTCCCCCCGCAATGGGAATTCCCGCTGTAGGAGTTCCCGCGACTTCGTGGCCTCCTCGATACTGCAAGCCCGAATCGAGCCGCGTGGTACGCCCGTCGACTTCTCTTTTTCGCTTTCTCGATTTCAATAGATAGCATCAGTAGATGTAACCGTGGAGCGCGATGCGTCATCCCTTATTCAACACGTCACCACGCCCCGCCGAAGAATCCCACCGCGGAGTCCGCACCGCATCCGCTGCGATTCTGCGATTCTTCTTGTGCCCATGGCAATGCACATTTCAGGAAATGGCGAGGAGGGAGGGCGCGCTGCACGTCCGCATACCCGCGCCGGGCTTCTTCCAACGCGGCGCCGTCGGCTGGATCATGTGCCTCCTCGCGCCTCTTTTCGTGAGCACCTCCTTCAACCCTCACCCATCGGACCGCCCTTATCCCGCGTCCTTCGGTGCCGGTGCAAGCGCATTTCGGTGATGCCCTACTCCTCCAAACGAGACGTTTCCTTCCCACTCGTTCAGTGACCTTTCGCGTCTCAACCTCCGTCACCTTTCCCCTCCCCAAACCCTACGGCCTTCGCCCCCTCCCCCCATTCCCAACGGCGCGTGGCAGTTGATACTGGCAGTGGCGGCGTCATTCTTCTTCGTCGGCACCTTCTGGCTCCTCCTCGGCATCGCCATGTGAGCGCGCCCTACCGCATCGCCATGTGAGCGCGCCCTACCGCATCGCCATGTGAGCGCGCCCTACCGCATCGCCATGTGAGCGCGCCCTACCGCATCGCCATGTGAGCGCGCCCTACCGCATCGCCATGTGAGCGCGCCCTACCGCATCGCCATGTGAGCGCGCCCTACCGCATCGCCATGTGAGCGTGCCCTACCGCATCGCCATGTGAGCGCGCCCTACCGCATCGCCATGTGAGCGCGCCCTACCGCATCGCCATGTGAGCGCGCCCTACCGCATCGCCATGTGAGCGCGCCCTACCGCATCGCCATGTGAGCGCGCCCTACCGCATCACCATCACCATCTACATTGCACCGCCCCATCCCTCCTGCAGCGCCCCTCATAATCGATCCCACTCGCATCAACATTTCGCTTTGCATTCCTTCCATTCCATGATTGCTTCTTCTGTCAATGCCTCTTCTATCTGCTTCCCGCCCATCTCACATGCTGCACCCCCCATTCGTTCCAACCCTCTCAGATCCACCATCTCGTGGGTGGGCGTGGCGACGCGCAGGGAGAGCGTCACGCTGGGCCCCGACGCCTTCTCCATCGTGCACACGCGCTACGGCGTGTCCAAGAAGCGCGAGGGCAGCACGCACCTCGTCCACTCCATCCTCGTCGTCGATCGCAACGCTCCGCGCCTGCTGCACCCCCCGCAATCCACAACGGCTCCCGGCATTCCCGTCCCGGGTCCTACTCCCCCCACTGCAGCCGCTCCTGCTGCCGCCAGTGGAAGCGCACCCACTGCCCGGCGTGGTCCCGCCGCAGCTGCTGCCGCCACCGCCAATGCCCGCGCGCGGGAGACACCAGCAGAGCCTCCGGAGCTTGTGTGTGTGTTTGCGCTGCCGGGCACAGTGCATAGGTTCGGTGCGAACCTGAGTGATGCGGAGAAGTACTGGGTGGTGGGTGAACTGGCGTATTACCTGCAGAGCGTGCGCTTGCACCTGGCACAGCAGAATGTATGATGGATAGCATGTAATGTAAGCTGGCAGTACAGCAGGAATCTCACAACCTGCAGACCTTGAGAGTTGCAGAGCAGTGTTGGGTGGTGGGCGAGCTGTCATACCACCTGCACTCCATGCGTGTGCATGCACTCAGCACAGCATGCCGTGTAGACCATAGCTGTATTATACTACACTTAGGATTTGGTCCGGTCACATAGAAATCCCACAACCTGTTTTAGATCCCATGCTCCTGAAGCTATTTTGAGCTGACATTGAATAGAAGTCGCTCCTTGAACACTTCTGCTTCCCAGGGTTTGATTTGAAGATAGTCTCTGTAGATCAGCTGCTTACACTCCATCCTTCGGCCCACTAGCAGCGGAGTCCCTTTCCATGGGATGAGTTTTGCGCTGCTCACAACGCACAGTGGGACCTCGACCAGAGTAGCCCATACGAGAACCTTGGCAGCCCCCAGCATCTATCGGTACAAGACAACGCTGGTGCCCACGGCCTCTGGGTAGCAAGGTGCAAGAGACTCGCATCAACACACTTAGGGGCATCCTGTTGGAAACAATCTATCTTAAGCGCCTCTGTCGTGTCGAAACACTAAGGCATGAACGAAGCGAAGCATATCGAAGCACCGGCGAGTCAACCCTCGGAGGTTGAAAGTAACTGTTGGAGGTTACGCGAAAGTCAAAGGTCAGCGACCTTTGACCTGACAAATACAGCGCGACAGCAAGGACACACAACTGACTCGCTACAGAGCAGTTGCCCGAGTCGTCACTGTATCGAACCGCAACAGCAACAGTAAAGTAGTTATAACTGCATCTCTTCGTATTCCTTGTACTCTTATATAATCTTGTATCTCCTTGCTTTAATCAATCTACTTTGCCCTCACATACTAGCGCAAGGTGTCAGAATCCCAACCACTAGACCATTGGGATAAAAGGGCTTGATTCAGTTGCGGGTCAGTGCGCCCATAACCCCCCAAGCGAACGCGCCTGTAACCCTCTCCAGGATCAATCGGGCATCCACAGTACAGATCTACTCACACAAGGTGGTTCACAGTACTTCATTAAACGCTTCCGCTATTACATCAGTCTTACCCAGAGTTCACCCCTGCAAAGATCCTAAGGGCTTTTCTCAGCCCAACACATCCCACCCTACCACACTATCATCGTGAGACTTACCGTAGCTTGGCGATGTTGTGGTGGCCCAACCCCATCTTGAGGAGCAGTGACTCAAATTCCACTATGGATATAATGTTCGTGTGCGTATTTTGGTGTTTGCATGCTTGGTTGGTTGAAGGACCAGGTTTGTGTTTTATTGTGAAACAACACTTGGTATTTGTGTACCCATAGATTTTTATATTTCATTCTTTCTCAACATACGCCCAGCGGTTCCATTCCAATGCACCATCCTCTTTCCGGAAGTGTCTTGGCGAGTCAGGTCGCTCTAGTCAACGTTAGAGGGAATGATGTGGCGCCAAGCCAACTACCTCGTGATTGTTGCGTTTTCAGCTAGAACACGGGAGTGGCGGAAACGGCTGTGCCCCACCCCCGCCTTCCTTCCTTTCTCCCGCTCACCAACCGACGATGCTGACACCGCAGATGCACAAATACCACTAGCGCCGCCACAAATCCCCATTGTCCGCACCCCGCCGCCATTTCACAGCAAACATTACGTGCTATAAGCGACACCATCGAAGTTCCCCCTCCACTAGAGGCGGTGCGACCGCGCCGACCAGGCCGCTAGTAGGACGAAAATTAGAACCGCAATGACAGCTAACCCGGGGAGCACGGCGCAAGAAAAGCCGCAAGAGGCGGCGGGTACAGCGCTTGAGCGAGCCGAATCGGAGCGTGCGCCTCCGATAAGCGCCGCTGATGCTCCACCTGCCGGGAAGGGCATTTCCGAACCGTCGCCGTCGCCTGCTCGTTGCGCCAAACCCGATCAAAGTCGCGTGGTATGCGCTTTTAGCAATGTCGTGATATCGATCTTTGTGTGGGACCCTTTGTGGCTCTACTACCGCGGCTTTAGGATGCGGCACTCGCTAGGTATTATCGGCATTTCTCTCTCTTCGCTGCCTTTCCCGTTTTTCCTGTACTCCTTTCTGAAGAAAACTATGCTCAAGAAAGCCTCCTTGTTATGATCAACGCGCCATACCGCAGTCTTGGTCCCAGCTGACGACTGACGTGGCGCGGCTTGACGTATGACGGGCACGGTACTTGAATTCTGACATGGCATTGCACTGGACTCCCCCCTACGTGGTTCCGCGGCGCGCAGGTGATATCACGGGTGGAGGGCGGGGCGCTGGAGGTGCGAATACCCGCGTCAGCTCGGTGCATCGTCGTGCTCACCGCCCTCCTTCTAGTGAGCCATTGCTCTCACTCCTTGTCAGTGAACCAATCTTCTCAGGCTCTTTCCAAAGAAGCAGATTTTCTCACTCAGTAAGTATCTCTGGTCATTTCCGTTGTACTAACAATATTTGCTCAGTTGCTCCTTTCCCATGCAAGCCCCTCCCCTCGCATTTATTTTCAGCCGAGCTCCTCCCTTTCCCACCTATTCCTGCCTCCAATCTCCTCCTGTCTGGCCACTCCCTGCTCGCTTCCCCGCCCTCCCTCTCATCCCTCCCCACCCTCCCTCACAGTTCGTGGTAGCAGTGAACGTCGCGATCTCCTTGCCCATCGCACTCGGCATTTTCATCTGGTGGGTACCTCCAACTCCCACTCCCTTTGAGGCCGCCTCTAGCAACGCGGTACGCGTAGCATGTCAAATCGGCAATATGATGCTGCATCTTGTATACCCACTTAGCATGCAAGCCCTTCAACACACAATCCGTCGTCCAGATTTTCCTAGCTTCAGCTTCCAGATTTCCACATCCACACCTACTCTCCCCCTCCATCGGCCTCCCACCATCCATTCCCGTGCTGCTCACGGCGCACCCGTCTCAGCATCAGACCAGCTCTTCGATCCGAAACCATTCTGCTGTCGCCGGATCGCTTCAGCATCACCAGCAGGTGGCCAAACAGGGTCATTGAGCAGTGCGGCAACACATCACAGTTACAAGCCATCGAGGTGCAACTCTTGGATTCGCCACCGACGCTGCCGTCCGCGCCAATGCACGGGGCAGGGTATCAACCAGTGGCCAAGCCGCCAAATCTGGTGTGTGTGTTTGTGGAGCAGCAGCAGGATTACAGGTTTGGCACGACCCTGAGTGATGCTGAGAAGTACTGGGTGGTGGGAGAGCTGTCGCACCACCTGCAGGAAATGCGCATCCACCCGGCACAGCAGGCTGTTTGACAAACGGATGGCAGTTTACGCTGGAGGTGCAGCAGGAGTATCGGTTTGGCAGGACCCTTAGCCACTAACAGAAGCACTGGGTGGTGGGCGAGCTGTCGTACCACCTGACCTGCACTCCGTGCACGTGCATGCACCCAGTGCAGCAGGCACTGCATTCTGCGCTTTGGCCCACCAGCAGGAGAGTCCCATGCTGATGGTCACACATATGCCCCAACCAGCACGGTTGGACCTCACTGGTGTAGAGCGCACTACGTGGATTGCAGACGTCAGCATCACCAAGACAATGCTGGTGCCAACAGCCTCTGAGCAGCAATAGACTTGCGCCAACGCACTCAGGAGGGCACCCCATCCCGCCCATGCGGGCAACGATCGCTCCTGCTTGCTGCCGCACTTCCCTCGCTGCCAAGCACCAGCACAACAGCCACTGCTACCGTGCAAGCCACCATGTCACAACAACTGCTGGCAGAGTTTTGCATATAGTGAGCCCACAGGCGCACGCACACGCCTTCTGGAACTGCAGGATGTCATTCGAAGATTGACCTTCGATATGTTCTTGCTGCCTAGCCACGTCTTGATAGGCAACGATCAATCTCCACTGTAGACATACAATATGGTATTTTGGTAGGCCTTGAAGCTTTGTGCATGGATATGGATATGCAAATCATTATGAGATGTTATTTCATCTGAATGTCATGTTTGTTCATGTTATAGCTTGTGCATGCTTGGTAAAAAAAACGGTTGTGCTATATTGAGATACAACAGTTTGGATTTACAGTATGTACCTTAGTTATTCGCAATATCGGAACAGGCCCAGCAGACTCTGACACCTTCCTGAAATGTCTTCGCCAGCCCAGTCGCTGTAGTCAACGGCGGAGATGCGATGCAAGCGGGGGGGTGATGCCAACTACCGCACGCGCGCTCCATGCGTTTTCCTTACAAAATCCAAACCACCTGATGGCGCAACGAAATGGGCGCAAGAGTGGTTACACTACCGGTTTGGATTATGGACGGTCGCACGAAAGCGACGTCGCAACCACTGTTCTACAGTATTTGTATATAAACTTTGTTGTTGACACTATGGTGTAATTCTGACAAGCAGAATGTCAAAATGGCCAAGTCAAAATTCTATATGGTTTGGCTCATAACTCCATAATTTGTTGGTCATTTGCACACAAATATGGATTTCCAGCATCTCCTTGATGTCCTCTACCAGCGGGCATGAGTTTGTTATTTTGTCAAATTTGTTACATTTTAACACTTTTGGGTCAACTAAGGTTGCTCATAGCACATGTAAAGTCATTCTCTGGGCATCACACACATGTCTTATGTGGTGACCATATTTTTTTGCATTGTTAGTGTTATGACACCTGTTCCAGCCCCCCTGAACATTTTCAGCTCTATGCAAACTGATTTGGTGGACTTTTTCTTGCAAGGAAGTTAGTGCTGAGTTGCCTGGTGTGATGTGTCAGGTGAAATCACCCACTTCTCCCTGGGCAAATGAGCCCATTTTGATAGAGCACTGTCATCACACCTAGTACTAATTCCCATCCAGTTTTCACTTCATTTCATCAAGGTTTGCCATGCTTTTCATGTTATATTCTGCAGGCGGGTGCAGAATTCTGTGCAGAAATGCCTGGAACCATGTTTCTTGTGAAATCAACCACTTTGCCTTGGGCAAATGATCTGATTTTCATAGGGGAAACTCATCACACATATCCCAGACT